TTTTTTTTTCCTGATGAAAGAAGATAGTCTACTCTTTCTTTTGGTGTGTTCGGTGTTTACATAGTCATAGCACAAACTATTCTGTGGATCTTGAAAAATGAGTCAAAATGCTCAAAAAACTGGCAGTATGGGACTCTGTTCTGAAAATGGCTGCCAGTCAATGAGTTAAGAACCGGGCTAAAACACTGAAGGTATTTCCTGGTTTAAACAGACTAAAACTGAAGGTATTTCCTGGTTTAGACAGACTAAAACTAAAAGGTAGTAACTCATTTAGACAGACTAAAACTGAAGGTAGTAACTCATTTAAAGGGACTAAAACTGAAGGTATTTCCTGGTTTAAACAGACTCACCAGCAGCTGGCTGCCACACTGGTTTAGACAGACTAAAACTAGAGGTAGTAACTCATTTAAAGGGACTAAAACTGAAGGTATTTCCTGGTTTAGACAGACTAAAACTAGAGGTATTTCCTGGTTTAGACAGACTAAAACTAGAGGTAGTAACTCATTAAAAAGGAACTAAAACTAAAAGGTAGTAACTCATTTAAAACTAGAGGTAGTAACTCATTTAGGCTTTCTCACCAGCAGCTGGCTGCCACACTGGTTTAGACAGACTAAAACTAGAGGTAGTAACTCATTTAAAACTAGAGGTAATAACTCATTTAGACGGACTAAATGAAAGGTAATAACTCATTTATAGGGACTCACCAGCAGCTGGCTGCCACACTGGTTTAGACACACTAAAACTAAAGGTAGTAACTCTTTTAAATAGACTAAAACTGAAGGTATTTCCTGGTTTAGACAGACTAAAACTGAAGGTATTTCCTGGTTTAAACAGACTAAAACTGAAGGTATTTCCTGGTTTAAACAGACTAAAACTGAAGGTATTTCCTGGTTTAAACAGACTAAAGGTAGTAACTCATTTAAACAGACTAAAACAAGAGGTAGTAACTCATTTAAACAGACTAAAACCAAAGGTAATAACTCATTTAAACTTTCTCACCAGCAGTTGGCTGCCACACTGGTGCAGTTCGGACTCGAATATGAGCACCTCCTGCTCCGGGTCCTCCCCGGTGGGGGGGCACCCAATAAATGTCCTTTTTATACTTTTGATCTACTCTGGTTTGTTCTCAGGTTTCCAGCTAAAGAATCAGGCTAAAACTGAAGGTATTTCCTGGTTTAGACAGACTAAAACTGAAGGTATTTCCTGGTTTAAACAGACTAAAACTAGAGGTAGTAACTCATTTAGACGGACTAAATGAAACGTAATAACTCATTTAAACTGACTCACCAGCAGCTGGCTGCCACACTGGTTTAGACAGACTAAAACTAGAGGTAGTAGCTCTTTTAAACAGACTAAAACTAGAGGTAGTAACTCATTTAAAGGGACTCACCAGCAGCTGGCTGCCACACTGGTTTAGACAGACTAAAACTAGAGGTAGTAACTCATTTAAATAGACTAAAACTGAAGGTATTTCCTGGTTTAGACAGACTAAAACTGAAGGTATTTCCTGGTTTAAACAGACTAAAACTAGAGGTAGTAACTCATTTAGACAGACTAAAACTAAAGGTAGTAACTCA